CCCCCCCGCCGCCCCTCTCGGTGACGAAGCGGACGGCCGCCCGGACCTTGCCCTCGAGCATGAGCTTGTTGAAGATGCGATAGACCGACGCGTCGTCCAGCTGAGGCTGAGTGGTGGGGAACTGCTGGTCCAGTCGCTCCGCCTCGCACACGAGCTCCTCCACCTGCCCCTTCTGCCACATCTCCAGCCGCCTCCAGAGCATCCGCTTGACATCGCGCTTCCTCTTGACATCCGGATCTCGCTGGATGAGTGTGCGGACGAAGACGCCAGCCCGCTCGGACGGTGCCTCGAGCTTGGAGATCTTCTCCACCTCATCAGCGATGGCATCGGCGATGGCGCGGCCAAGGTTGCCAAGCTTGCTGAGATCCTTCACGCACCGCAGTCGAAGCTGGCAGACCCGCTCGTGATATGCCTCCCACTCAGGGAAAGTCGGTCCTTCTGAATAAGATACTCGGGCACCCTCACCTGTATGCGAAGAAAGGTCAATCGACTGTCTGTATGGGCCGGTTGGCGTCGCTCACACACTCACTCGCTGTTCAACCGCGACGACCGGAAACGCCTTCCTGACACGGTGACACACACGGCATGAGAGGACCCACTCGTGAAGCGACATTCAACTCACACGCGCCGCCCGGAGGAGAGAGGCGATCCCGCCCTTGTGTATTCGCCGGATCTCCCGGGTCAGACCACTCCGATGTGCCGTGCCGAGGGACGGCTGACGAGGCAATAGCGCCAGGAACGCAGGCCCCTGGCGAGAGGCGGATGGCGCACTCACAGCATAGGCTGTTGCCAAGGCCCAGCTGAGGATGGGGAGTTGCCCAAATACATGCATGGCGATTGACGCGGTTTCATGGAGCACCCGGCGGCTGGACGATGAATGCGAGCTTAGAAGTGCGAGGAGGGGAGGCGCGAACGCAACAGAGAGGCGCTCATGAGCGCCACACGAGCAGCCAGGAGCATCGAGAAAGTCAAACAAGCTGACATCTCTGTGTGTCTGTCTGTCTGTGTGTCTGTCTGTCTGTCAGAAGCGCGGCCAAACGAAGATTGTCATGGGCGCCCACGTCATTGCCGCTCTGTCCATGACATTCATTCCCCGAGTCAGACCTGTTCAGACGCCGGCCGGCCAACGAGCACGACCACGCCATTGGTTCGGCCATTGGTTCGTGGGCTGGCAGGCGCCCTTGGTTCGGAAGAAGCGGCTGGGAGATGGGCGCAGCAGCGGTGAGTGCAGTGCATGAGAGAGAACGAGAGCAGCCCAGCCTCTCTCTCAATCTGTGTGGATGTGTGTGTGTGTGTGTGTGCAGCTGCCGATGGTTGGAGAGACCGCGTGCACAAGGAGTGGGTGACTGAGTGGGCGGCCGCGATATACTCAATTGCACGACCTTCAAGTCAGATTGCAGTGGGAGTGGGAGCTCAGCAGGTACATGTGTCCACACACGCACACACACACGTGTGCATGGTTGGCTATTACTGTTATGTTCTGATTGGCGTGTAGGGGCCGGAGAAGGTGCCCGAGAGTGCCAAAAAGAGACCGGCATGACACACCATTGCTCTGGATAAATTTCATGTGGGGTGGGATTGTGGATAGTTTGTTGCCTTGTTGATGGACGGGTGTATGTGGTCTGCGGGCTGGGTCGTATCGATGATGCCGTCCGTCTGGTTTGATGTCCATCCTGGATAGTGCGCTTCTTAGTTTGCATTGAGCGGACATTGTTCATCGTGTCAACGTCTGCCTGTCTGCCTGAAACAGATTGAAACACATCCAGGAAGGGTGAAACATGCCGCGGGCGAGAAGAGAGAGATGACAGCAACATATACAGCAGGAGGACCGGCATTACCCTTGTTTCGTCTTGTTTCGTCTCCTCCGGGGTGCGGCGGGTGCGGCGTTGCCATCCAGGACATTCACCGTCCCTACGTGACCGCGTGAGTTACACATACACACACACACACTGCTGTGAACATACACACGTGTGTTCAAGTCTCCCTCCCTCCCTCCATCTCTCTCTCTCTCTCTGTGCGTGTGCTTGTGTGCGCACTGTTTGTTTAGGCGGCCGGCCAGCAAGTCGCTTGCAGGCTGACTTGCAAGTGAAGTGGCTGTACGTTTATCTATTAGGGCTTCAATGGTCCGAAGGTGGGTGGCCTAATTCATGTTGATGCCTTATCGTTTGTGCACCGTTGCTTGTGTGGCCGCCTAGTGCTTTGTGGTTGGTCGATTGGGTGGCCGTATGCACGTCAAGAGAGTGAGAAATGCATGTGGAGAATGTGGCTTCGAACTGAACACTAGTAACTGAACAAGTGAGACATCGACGATCAATTGGACCGTTCATATCTATGAGAGTCTTGACAGACAAGCATGTCCATGAAGGTAGGTCCTTGATGATTGATGGAGACATGCGAGGAAAGGAAGGAAGGAAGGAAAGAAGGATGCATCATCCAGGGAGAAGAACACAGCTGATGCCTATTTGTAGCGTCCTTTCACACACAGACTCGTCAGAGCCGCCTCTGCAGATTCTTCCCCATCCAACCCCTCATCGATCCCGACCCGATAGTTCAGTTCCTGACCAAGGAGGGCCCCTGCTGATGCGCCCCATGACTGAGATCAGCGGCTCTTGCACCGTCAAGCTGACGCCACTTGGAATATCGTCGAAGCGTTGATAGCATTGGCCTGTGTATAGAATGGCCCCTCTCCCACATGCGACTTTCTTCTTGTTCTCTGCCAGGATCGCGCTGAAGTCCTTGGGAGTGAGTACGTTGGAGGACGATGGCTTTCGAGTGGTGTTTGGTGCTGACAACTATCACATCGCCCACACCAAGACAGGGATGACTATCTCATTCAGGCGAGAGACTGACCTGTATGTCCTCGACTTCGCTGAATGCGACACTGACGAGACACCACACGCGATGCGTGCAAAGGCGGCGATGCTGTCTCTTTCCCGTTAAGCAACTGGTTGTGCTGGTATACTTGTCTGGACATGCGTCTCAAGACGTTGACCACTTGCAGGGCGAGAGGGTTGTTGCGGACGTCGGGTGTGTGGAGGAGGTTGTCCAACTCTGACGTCGGGTTAGCTTGCGCTGCCTGTCTCCCCATCAAGATTCTCCACATCCCGCTCCCTGGTGCCACCTGTTCAGTTCGTGGACGGGGAGGTTTTGCCGGTGCAGACCGACGACGCTAGCCCGAGCAAGGCGAGGGCGCCCGAGGAAAGAGCGAGGGTCAACCTGTGGCAAAGGCAGAGGCGTCACACACCTGTGGCAAAGGCAGAGGGCATCGGGTCGAGCACATGTGTCCACGACACATACCACCTTTCCTCGTTGGTGTCGTCGAACGTCGGTGGCGGCACCCTGTTGATGCTCAAGTGGAGGTCGATGTGCAGGTTGCCCGACGGACGGCGAACGGTGAGCTGCAACTCCTCGTTGTCGGTCTGCTCCTCAAGGGCCAGCTCGACACACTGCCGAAGCGTCGTCGTGAAGTCGCGAGGCAACCCCACCATCCACCAACGCCCACGCACCAAACGACTCACCCCTGCCCGCCAGACCCCTTGCCCCCAGTGATGCAAGATGTCATACGGCACATTCTTCGCAGGACAGGAATTCTCGAAGCCAAACAACGCCATGCCGTCAGGGCAGTGCCGCATGCTGTAAGCCGATTCGAGCCTTCAGAAACGCGGTGGCCTGAGAGCAGATCGGCATGAATGTCAGAGAGACACGTTCTGCGTATGTGTAGAGGGCGGCGTATATTGTACATATACGCATCCACCGATTTGTACTGCGGCTCGTCCGTCGTATCCCGAGTGGTGAACAGGGCGTTCATGACGACCTGCCGCAGATCCAGCTCGAGCGGCTGCTCCAGCACCTCGTCGGTGGTCACGCCTGGCCTTGGGTAGGCTGCAAGGATCTCCTCGTCTTGCACGCCGGACAGCTGTGTCTGCACACAGAGCCAAAAAATGCATTGCCTGCGAGACATAATGAGCACTCACTATGTGCGCTGCATGCGAGTTGCGCTGCGCACACGTGGTAAAGCCACGTACAGTGCACTGGCCACAATGTTTCCATTCGTGCCCATGACGACGTCTCTAACAGACCAGCAGGAGAGCGGAGACAATGAGAGATCGTTGAGAGGTGATCGATGGGCTTACTCCAGTTGGTCGGATACTGTAGAACGAAGTCGAGTTGGCGCTCATGGGCGGAACGCTGCTCGAGTTGCCCTATATATATTGGAGTGGCCCAACAGCGCAGATACTGTGCCGACGAGCGGTCATCGAAAAAGACAGTCAGGGAACAGGTGCAGACCTCTGTTTCGCGTAGTACTTGAGCTCCACTTCAATGAACTCCCCGTTGGCTTTGGCATTTCGGACAGACTGATAGCTTCCCTACCTCAGCGAAGTGCCCTTCGGCAGATGCACCTGCCAACAATCAGTGGCACACACACACACACACACACACACACATGAGCATGGCTGCCGAAGTCACGTTGTCTGTCGGTTTGTTCTCACCGTCTGCATGGTTTGTTCTCAGCAGCGAAGCCATGGCCTGAGGTTCCCTCAGGCCGTGATCAACACGACGTCAGCCTCTGCAGTCTGCTCCCTGATCAACACGACGCACACATGAATGCAGGGGGAGACGTCGAACGACCCATTCAGCGTTGGCGGCGAACGAGAAAAATCTACCTCGCAGAGAACCTGGCCAAGCGTAAAGCTGCGGAAGACACGTGCCACTGCACCCACAATACTCCAACAATTTGGGCTGGGGGCTGTCGATCCTGTCTCGTCTCGACTCCCGTGCTTCTGTGCGGCTGCACAGAAAGGTCAGGTGGTCGAGTAGCTGGGGTGAGCGATACGCTGGTGCCGGCTCCGTCCTTTATTATGAGTAGCCATCGCAGCACGCAGAAGTTTGGCTCTACGGTTTTGGCTGGCGCCATTCTCTATTCGTTTATGCAGGGCATACAAAAGCTGAGCGTGTGTCGTCAAGAACACTCCATCCAAGCATTGTGCGTGATCCACACCAAGCCACATTTACTCAACCACCCACCCATCACACACTACCCGTCCATACCCTCCCTCCCGTGATGTACGTACGCTTACTACTGGATGGCGGTAGCCATGGCCTGCCTGGGTGGTGACCGACCTGACTGCCCAATGGACACACACATTCATTCATTCATTCATGGTGAACAGCGACACGCAAAAATACACATACACACGTACATAACATGGGTGTGCATATATGTCTGTGGCGGCCCTCCCGCCCTCTCTTCCCCGGGCGTTTACCCAACAAAACACGTGACTGACGAAAATCCTTTACATAAAACTGGATGGACGGATGCGTGCATCTTCTCCGCGACCCCTGCTCCCCACGCACACACACATACACACACACACACACACGCAGAGATGGAGAGAAAGCATGCAGGCAGGCATGCAGCGAAAAAGGCAGGCGGATGGAAACCAATGGGTTGCCGTTGGTTGTGTGGTAGGACACGATATGCGATGCGATGCTAACCAGGCAGAGAACTACATGTTCGGGACGGGACGCACACACGGGGTCTCAGGGGAAAATCCAGAGGGGTCTCAGGGGAAAATCCAGAAACGCCGCACTCACTCAGGCACACACACACCCGCACACACACACATGGACACACATGGACGTATACGAGTTCCGATAAATACAGACATACATGTGCATGGAGAGGACAGACAGACAGACAGACAGGCAGGCGGACAGGCGGAGAGGGACAGAGTCACTACTAAACCACATCCCTCCCCCCTGTCAGCACTCACAAACGGCCCACGGTGTCTCGCTTCATGCGGCCCCCTCCCTTCCACGCCATATGCAGCAACAGCAGCAGCGCACCACTCGACATAAACATGCTACTGGCCACACCCACGTACTGCTCAGTGGCACCCACGTGTCCAGCAGCACCAGCTCCGCGCAGAAGGGCCCTCTTAGTTCCAGTGGCCCCAATCTCACTGTGGTCGGTGCTGCCCGTGAGGTAGCGGATAAGTATGGCGATCGAGTAGCCCGCCGCGGTGGCAATCGCCCCGTTCAGCACCTGCATCAACGTCCCCACACACAGGTATGTGTCTATCGGCCACGTGTGTGTGGAATGGATCGCACGGACATACCATTTTGAGTCCGCTCATGACGCGGCCCTGCTTGATGAAACTGCCCTTGGCCATGCCTGCATGGTTGTGTGTGTGTCACACACAGTGTCTGTGCGCATCCATCCTATCCTCCAACGTGTCCCCGCCCACCTACCTAGCAGGAACAGGGTGAGTGCGGTGCAAGCGCAGCAGATGATGAAGTTGTCGGTGGGCGATATGGGGGTCGACAGCAAAGCGCCGTACACCACCTGCACACATCCACACGAGGAGAAACGCCACATGCTGTCCATCTGTCTGTGTGCCCACCCACCCCCCCACCCCCAGACGCAGCCACCCATGCATACCAGAGGGACGCTGCCGAAGAGCACAAATGCGACGCACATGATGAGGCCGCTCTTGACGGGCGACGCCAGGCCATCGGGGGGGGTCAACCTGACCGCACACATCCACCCACACACATGGATGCGTGTATGGGCGTGTGGGAGTGGTGTGTGTGTGTGTGTGTGTGAGTGGATGGTTTGCTCACACACCCCAGTTCCTCGACCATCATGACCTTGACGAAGAAGTCCTTGTAGCGAGACATTATGCTGCACATAACGCATGCACATGGCCTACACGTGTGGTCTCCCCTCCCTCCCTCCCTCGTCGCCGACGTGATGACTTGTGTGGCGTCCTGTCGGGTCATGCCGTTCTGCTCGTACAGGTCAATCATCTCCGCCACCTCACCCTTACACACACACACACGCACATCCATCCATCCATCCAGCCAGCCAACCATGCTCAAGTTCAGTGTTCCATATACCTCGGGGTAGTGTTCCATCTCCCATTTCTCGCGGCGCTCCTCCGCCCGAGCATAGTCGATCTCTGCACGGGCAGAAAAGTAATCACCCAAACCCTGCAAACACACAGACACACACACACGCCCGAATATGTCTGGTGTGTGCTGCATGGCTGTCTGGCTGCGTGGGCTCCTGATTGACCATTGAGAGTCCGTCGGCGACCAGATTGGCGATGCCCAGGAGGATCACCGAGCCGCTCGACAGCCCTGGGTGGCAGGAAACACGCACACGCATACAATACAAGCAGACAGAAAAGGATGTATGCCGAGTCGACTCACCTGCCCCGATGCTTGTGGCGACGATGGCGAATGTCGTGACGATGCCGTCAAGACCCCCGAACACCAGCGACTTGAGAAACTGACCACAGACACATGGATGGTGTGGCATGCATGTGTGCGGG